AATATTAATAATGAAATGATACAAAAGAAAGTCATTCCTCTCACTGATATTGACTCTTTTCATCTCATCTCTTATAGGAAGACAGTCATTTGGGTTGATCTATGGTATTTATTCTCTAGTGTGGTTTCCAATGGCAAAATATGTATGAAAGTTGCTAAGATGACAGCTACTTAAAGCGCAAACTCTTGACAGTGGTGCTTCCATTGTTAAAGAGCCCATTCAGGCTCCATGGACCAGGATGGTGCTGCTAGTACTGCGTGCCACAGGATGATGCCATTTTCTCAACCTTCTTCCTCATCTGATAAATGGCTCGAGAAATCAGGGATTTTAGCACGTAACCAACCACCACGTGTCAATGTATCCTATGCTAATTAACGTAAATAAAAGTAAACAGGTGGCTAGAGGCCTAGAGCAATTGCCTATGCTCCATGGACCAGGATGGTGCTGCTAGTACTGCGTGCCACAGGATGATGCCATTTTCTCAACCTTCTTCCTCATCTGATAAATGGCTCGAGAAATCAGGGATTTTAGCACGTAACCAACCACCACGTGTCAATGTATCCTATGCTAATTAACGTAAATAAAAGTAAACAGGTGGCTAGAGGCCTAGAGCAATTGCCTATAATGCTCACAAAGCCTGGTGTACAAAACTTAGTACTGAAATAAAAGAAGAAAATGTAAGGACAATGCTTTAAAACTTTCAGTGACTTTGTTGTAACAGTTACCTTAAAATGGGAGGGGGTAAAAGGGAACAGTAATAGAATACATGAAAACTGTCTAAATTGAGAAATTATGTGAAGCAAAATAACCACATGCTTTAGTAGTATTAATAGGAAAAAAATAATTCACAATAGTGATTGTCTTTGAACATTATCTATTATTTTGTGACAGAATCACATTATGTTGATGTTAAACCATGCAAGCATTCGAGTACAAACTACAATGTATATGTTACAAAAACAAAGAAAAATGTATTTTATAACAAGTCCAATTTGCTATAATGTACCTATCCAGGACATACAAAGTACTATGCTAAAAATCTTTTTTTTTCTCTGTGTCATGGGACTTTTCGTCCATCATGGGCATGATCTCCATTCCACCTTAAACAGTATGAGTATTTTTTTTTAATCCACTCTAATATGAGCATCTGCTGAGGTATATACTTTACCTGACTTGAGATAAACTCTTTTAAACTCTAATGAAATTGTTCTTGAGATTCAAAAGCATATTTTTCATTTTTATATAATGATATTTCATATATAGCAGGGCATGGTGGCACATGTCTTTAATCCCAGCCGTGCAGAGGACTCTCTGAGATCGAGGCCACCGTGGTCTACATAGAGAGTTCTAGGCTATCTGGGGCTACAGGGAGACCCTGTCTCAAAAAGACAAATAATAGTAATAACTACATTTCATACATCCATGACAAAAATCAAGTAAAAATTTTCTGACACTATGGTTCCATATTAGAAATATCTTAGAATTAATTTAACAAATAACCCCGAATTTCTAGGATATTAGAAAACTGATTAAGAAACAATATAGCAGCATTTATACTTAATGTTCTTCACTTCTTTCTAAGTAAACTTTTTACTTGGAGCAGGACCAACTAGAGCAAAATATTATTATGAATCTTACCTGTGCCAATCTGTGCAGACTTAAGGATCGACTTTAAACCTGTTGTCTCACTGTGAAACATTTAAAA